CAGGAAGAAAATATTGTTCCCTTACTCTGATTTTCGAATCTGTGAGCATAAGTGGATTCCATGTCAAAAGCAGGCCACAGGCTTCTCTTGAATTAGGTCAAAATTTATAAATTTAGGCAAACACATAATTTAACAGAAATGAATTATGACAAGACAAAACGAAAAAAGATAAAATTAAAAGAAGCGAGACAAGGTGAGGTGAGGTGAGGTGAGGCGAGACGAGACGAGATGAGATGAGATTAATTGATTTGAGTTTAAGATGTGGAGATTATAAGAACTTTGTTGAATTAAGATGACAGAGGGTGATTTTTAATGATATGATGAAGTTTGAAGTGAGATTTACTTATTCGTTGGAATGATATCGGATGGAATTAAATTAGATATTAAGAGATGGTTTGAAATTAATTAGGCATTGTAATCCGATGATATGCCTTAAGAGGAAGTAGCGTTAGAATTGTCGATGTTTACTTGCGAAAGGATTGACTGATTTCCGGAGCTCTTCTCAGCCCCTCTTTTATGATTTCCGAAATATTTGTTGGGTTTTTCAATGTTTTAATCTCAAGATCAAAATCCATAATGCTGAATTTTTACTTGCTACCTTGTTACTCTAATTCCGATCCTCTAATCTATTGAAACCAAAAATTAGATCTTCTTGACACAAGCCTTTCGAATCTTGTCCAACGTCAGGCTGTCGTCGACAGCCTTCAGCAGACGCTGATTCACCTTCAACAACATCGGCTTGGTCAGATTCTACAGTCAAAGCCTGTGAGTCTTGGATCATCGATGCAACAAATGCTGGCTCGCGGCCAAGTCAGCTCTGGCCAGACGGCATCTGCCGGTCAGATTCAGACGCCACTCACTCTATTTCAGCTGTTGGGAATTCAATTGGGTCAGGTAATTTGGCTATCAGATCCGAAATCTAAAAATTTTTCATAATATTTTGCCGCCTTCTGAAGTTCAGATTCAGAGTGACACGAGTCCAAGGTATCGGTAGCTTAAAACACATAACTCGTCGTCTGCACACTATTTGTAGATGGGCCAAATATCTTCTATGAGTGAGTTTCAAGGGCAGGTTGTAGGCCTACCAGGAAGCCAATTAGATATAGTTACTTTGCAATTCCACTTTCAATATTGGTCCTTGCCTAGGAGGGAGAGGAGAAGTGGTTTAACCTATTTTGATCAAGCCGAACAAGAGTGAACTCTGGTCAAGTGATAGGGCCGCCACAGACCTCTACTTAACGCTATTGTGTAGTTTTCAACCCAGTATTTTACATTCTGTTTACGTTTTTGCGTATCAATTCGACAGATGTGTCCAGACCATCAGATTCCAGGCTCTCTGACCATACACTATAAATTGTCATAGAGACATCTGGACTTGAGTTGCCTTGGTCGGCTGACCTCTGATGAATTTGAGACTAGGCGTGACTTTAGACAAGCACACGTTGGCCTGGCAACACATATCACCACGGTAGAAGTGGCCTGGGAATGGTCATCCTAGCTTTTTAGCTCATACATGCTCATTAACTAAGTTGCGCTAAGAACACGCTTATCCCTTAACCTAAGGTTATGGCTTTGCAGGCGATGAAGATATAATCCTAAAAAGGTTAATAGTCGTCCTCATAGTGACTGCTGTAGATGAGAGACAAACACTTAAAAATTGACGAGAAAAAAAGGCAAATTAACTCAGAAATTTACATTCGAATTATCAAATAAAAATCACCGACTGCTCATTTGGAACTTGAAGTTACAGAACAAATTAATTATTTATTTTATGAAAGCCTACTTATTCCTAGCCTCAATAATATGGTAGAATAAGTAAGGACCAGTTCGACGGGAACATCTCCCTAAGTACAAAATATTTATCAAATGAATGAATCGTTTAATGAATATAATTATTTAATTATATAATGGAATGACAGTATTTAAAAAAAATATTTTATCATTATATATAATAATAATAAAATATCATCAAATAATTGTATAATCATATAATATAATAGTAGATAATGCTATAACACTTCAAAAATATATAAAATAAAGTTATTAAATAATAAAATATTACAATAACCATTACACTAAAAGCATTTGAGCACGCAAGATCCAGTTCCAAAGATGGTCGGCCCATTTGCTATTGCTGGCCTAGTTTTACGTGTTCCACAGACACGCGTTTATCAGAAGTCTCATTTATTGTGTACATTCTGGTTTAGTGAAGATAAAACAAGCTGTACGCAAATGATGAGAAGACTTTTTTGATGCAGTTCTCCGGTCGTGGGCTGGGGCTGGGGTTGCCAAGAAGGGGTAATGGTGTGTTCGTCCACAGAAATTATGGGATACCTTCTTGTTTGCATTAGATCTACGTGTGTGTACATTTAGGCAACGGACCATTTAGTTTACGCCTCACTTTTTTTTACTGTATGGGAAACTCTCGTCTATCTTAGTATCCCTTTCTTGTCAGTTGTAGAGAATGTATATATTTCGTGGCTTGCAACATTTGCTGTAAATAAGAAATGACGTGCGAAGAATGTTTCTCTCAAATATTCTTCTCTAGAGTTGCAGACAGCCGAGATCAAGACCATATATGTTGTTGTCTGTTGTATGGGACCATAATGAATCCCAAAAGCTGCACACTTTCGCTATGGCAACCTACTTCGGGTTAAGGATAGTGTATCTTAAAGGTTGGTCATGAGGCTGGCTAAACAGAGGAGATCCTGGGCAGTGGCGATCAGGCATAGTGGGCTTTTTGCTTATTTTAGCTCACGTTGAGCAAGTCTGCTGGTCCCATCTCGGGGCGATGAAGTAAAAACTTGGCGTCTAACAAAATAGGCTATTCAAATGATTGGTTCACTGAAGGTTCCAGCGGAGCTCACATTCATTCCACGTGTCTATCAAGCTCATCTCCTTCACTAGACGAATAAAAAGGGTCATGCAATCACATATTGTGGAATGACTCTCTGTTGCGAAGAGAAAATTAGTTGGAAGTAATTCGTGATGTGGTCTCATCGGAAACCGG